TCAGGCATTTCCCACCAGGACAGCAGGCTGCATTTGCAATGGTGGAGGTGTTTGGGGAAGGCAGCAGGGGAATGGGGGTGAGTATGGCAAAGGAGCTGCTTTCAAGCCATTGGAAAATATATCCAATCCAACTTCTGTGTTTGTGTTTGTTTGAGAGTGAATGAGAGAGGGAAGGGGGTAGGAGAGATAGTCCAATCCAACTTTTCTGTGTGCGTGTGTCTGTTTGAGAGGGGATGGGAGGGAGGAAGGAGGGGGAGGGAGAAGAAAAAGAATGAAGGAAACTTTTTCGCAAAGGAGAAAAACAAATGGTGTCTCTTTAAACCGGAACTGAACATGCCTGGCTGTGGAATTCTGGGAGTTGAAGTCCACAAGTCTAAAAATTTTTGAAACCCACTACTGTGTCAGTGCCTCATCAGCCATAAACCTCACCGCACTCAAATACTGGAACTCTGTTATCTTGTCACCCCTAGTTCTTCTTTTCACAATTGAACATATTCAATTCCTGCAAATGTTCTTTATACATTTTAGCCTTCATCGTGGGGACCAAAACTGGATGCTATATTCCAAGTTTGGTCTGACCAAGGCGTTATAAAGTAATAATATCACATCTCACAATCTTGATTCTATCCCTCTGTTAATACAGCCTATGATTGTATTGGCTTTTTTGGTAGCTGTAGCACATTGGTGGCTCATATTTAAATGATTATTCACTAGGACTCCAAGGTCCTTCTCTCTATTACCACTGCTGTACTATACTTCACCTACGTCTGTACCTGTACATTTGGTTTTTCTTGCTTAAGTATAAAACCATACCCTTTTCTACATTTTATTTCATTTTGTTAGATAGGGCCCAGTGTTCAAGTCTATTGAGATCCATCTGGATCTTGAACCTATCTTCTGGGATATTGACCATTCCTGCTAGTTTGGTGTCATCTGCAAATTTGATGCGTTTTCCTTCTCTTCCCTCATCTAAACCATTTATGAAATGTTAAAGAGTATGGGGCCTAAAACACAACCTTGTGGCACCCCACTGCTTCCTTCCTTCCAGGTAGATGTAGTTCTTTTTTTTTTTTTACGTTTTTATTTTACACACATAAACCCATCAACAAAAGCAAACACATGACTTAAGACAACATAGGAACAAGAAGTTCCATCATATATCATACA